CCACGGAAGTCCCAAGATCCCACACCCAGAAAACTACCATCGGGTGTTGGCAAAGTGATGACTGGCATTTTGCTCGCTTCTGTCCATTCAAGAGGCATGTTTTTCACAAATGCCATAAACGAGGGTATAAGGAAGACCACTGTCCAGCAGCCCAACCCCTCAACTCAAGGGCTAGCGACAAGAAGACCAGAAGTTCTAAATGCCCTTCATCTTACTCTGGCCCAAAGTCCAACTCAATCTTAGCCACATTCCAGACTGAATTTGAGGCACGGAGGAAATATCTGACGGTTACCATCAATGGCAAACCTGTACACCTCCAGCTGGACCCGGCATCAGACATCAGCCTCATCTCCAAACGCACTTGGCACATGATTGGACTGTCTCCGATGATCACATTGGATAAAAAGTCTATGAATATTTCAGGCGGATTCCTCCGGCTCACGGGAGAGCCTGAATGTGACGTTTCCTTTGAGGGCACACAATTCAAGGAAACATGCTACCTTACCAACCGCCCGAAGCTTAACTTAATTGGCCTTGACTGGATTAGGAAACTCGGTCTCCTAGAACTGCCACTTAACCGCATTTGCAATGCTGTGCAGTCAATTTGGCCCAGTCCCGCCAAATCAAATCAGGTGGCGACAAAGCTGATGTCGACCTTACAGGCGAAGTTTGCTCCAGTTTTTCAAGAAGATCTTGGTTGCTACAACAAGCCGAAGGTCACTCTTCGTATTCAACCAAACGCAAAACCTGTTTTCAGGCCAAAAAGACCAGTTCCTTACGCCGCACTTACAGTGGTGGACCAAGAACTTGATCGTCTTCAAAGAGATGGCGTTCTTCAGTCAGTCAATTACTCAGAATGGGCCGCACCAATCGTGGCTGTCAAGAAAGCCTCAGGTAAATGCCGAATCTGTGCTGATTTTTCCATTGGCCTCAATGCCGCTTTGGACACGCATCAATATCCTACTATTCATCAATATCACACTTCTCACGGACCACAAGCCCCTTCTTGCTATTTTTGGT